TTACGTACGTACGTACGTACTCTCTCTACTCTCTCTCTCTCTCTCTCTCTCTCTCTCTCTCTCTCTCTCTCTCTCTCTCTCTCTCTCTCTCTCTCTCTCTCTCTCTCTCTCTCTCTCTCTCATGGCTATTGTGGTGCACTAATGACATCTGCGAGCTTGTTTTCGATTAATCCGACCATGCTAGATAAACACACTGACAGTTCTGTGTCAATTTACTTGACGGGACGAGAGGGTGTGCCATACACGACACTCAATAAGTACGAGTCGGCTACTATAATCGTGCGTTACGATTCCTAGAAAATATCTTCGTTCTGTCGCGCAAGGTAGAAAATTGGTTTCACTGGCTTCACGTAAACCATGCGAACGTAGGATCGTTTAATGCGCACTACGAGGATCGCACAAAACGCTTTGAATTGCCCCAAATTGGTTTAAATTGCGTGTTCCCGCGGTATATTAATAAAACTAGTTCCGCGAATTTATCAAATAACTTTACTATTCGGTCGCTTACATCACGGAAATCGCAAAATTTGCCATAAAGATATAATGAATTTGTTGTACAAAATTCAATGCCTCTAAGCTTTATATTTTCCGAAATAATCAGTGTTTTTCATAGCTATCGCAAACTTCTGTTATCGCAAGAGCTAATGTAACTTGTGGCGTGTTTTCTATAAATATTCTAAACGTGAAAAAAATATGCATTCATTTTTAATTTGAGAAATTTAAGAATCTATAAGATAGATATGTATCCAGGTGTAAAAATAAAGCTTGTGTCAGAAAGCTTTTTGATATGAATACAATAGAATCTCTTTATACGAATCTCCACGGGATATTCTATTATTTGAACACCCTATTATTCACGTTCTACTATCCAAACTATACGTTCTGCTATGCAAACGGAATATCTCCTCGTAGAATATTCTCTCTCTGTCTCTCTATTGAGAGAAATAAATATACTTCCTAAAGATAAAGATATAGAAGATAGGGGGATCAGCTAACGGGAAAGGTCAATACAACATATACGTGTGATTATGGTTAAATTAGATACGTAAACTCCATAAAAAGTCACATAGGGAGGAAATTATCTTCAACATTTCTGAAATAAAGCGTTTCTCAAAATAATAGCGTTTGTTGTATTAGCGGTATCAATTATTTCACATCTATATTGAGTATCCTCTATCAGTTCGCTGAAAATGGAATATTCTCCGTATTGTTGGTTACAATCGATACGAGGCCAGCCGTATATCTTTCGAACTTGGCGACGCGAAATCTATTTGCGACGGCGCGCTATCAGATAAGCATTTCATATAATATACTTGTATAGTTCGGGTCGCTCGTAATACCCGCGGTCACCTAGTTACGTTGTCATTGATGCACTGCGACTAGGGACAAATTATGCTCGTTAGATAGGGAATGTTTGAAAAATTTATCGGTCGTTTTTCAACGCGATCTACGTGCTACGAAACGCGATATCTGTGTCACAACAGAGCAACGAGCTATGCAAATAGTCACGAATCGGTTTTTACCTGCTGTCCAGGTTGCAGGCACGAGGTCGCGAATCGAGTGAAATATTCCATGTTATTACACCGCACTGCATTCAGCGTGTCATCAAGCTTCGGGTAAAAGTGTTACACGCGCTGCTGTCGTATTATTTTTTATCTACTTTTTTTTATCAAAACCGTGCCTTTGGCTGCTTTAATTTATATCTTTAAGCGCTTTAATTTTCTAAATTATAAAGTGGATCGAGAATAAACTCGGACTTAAATCCGGGCAAAAGACAGTACGAGAGCAAACTGTAGAGAATAGAAAACAAATAAATGCAAACTCCAAGCAAAGTAAAATGAATCGCGTCTTTTCTTTTAAATTCTATTCTTCTTTGAGAGGAGAATGATAAAATACATCGAATAAACGTGACATATTTGCACGCATCGCCCATTTGGCAAACGAACGCGTTGCATAGAGCCAGGCGTAAGGAATGCATTCTGGTATTCTGCTAAACTCCACCGTAATTTTAATCCGCGTAGCAACAGGGCGGCCTTTAAACGCACGCGGTATTTCGCACGGGGTATTATTACGGCGAGGATTTTTGTAAC